TTGCAAAACATAACTCTTGCAAGCCAGATTTAGGAATGATAGTCAAATGGCAGTACTGCCAGGTTGAGGGCTAGGCCAGGAGTCCACTGTCCAGGAGGAAGAAACCATGTTCCAACTCCTTCCAGGAGACTGGTCAGAGTTTGCACCAAGGCTGGATGCAGGAGTCATGTGGCATAGGGTGAACAACCAGCAGGAAGCGGCCCTTCCCTGGCCTCATGGGTTTCCGGCTGTCTTTTACCTCAAGTCCCACAGTAGAGAGCGCAGGCTGCAGGTGGAACAGGAAGCAGGTCAGAACTTAGACATCCCTGCCTTCCACAAGAACATGTGGCATGGAGGCCTCATACACAAACTACTAGGAGTGCCTTGGAAAGCCCTGGAGGTGGGGATCTTTGCCTTTTTAAACAGAAGAGCCTCCTATAGCACATAAGTCCCTGGGTCCCTTAGGAGAACCCTGAGACCATGGTTCCCAGGGACACATCCAGGCTTTACAGAGCCTGAAGCTTATAAAATGTGAAAGGCTTTCTTTGAGAAAATAGGATACACAATTATAAGTACAAGTTTGGAAGTAACTGAATGAGGAAAGAACAGGACTCAGAAGGGATCCATATAAGTGAGAGGCCTGGAGTCTCAAACTTCCTGTGTTTCAGGAGGTCCAGGGTGTCCTGGAACAACAGGAACAATAGACTGGTTCCAAATCGGAAAAGGAGTACGTCAAGGCTGTATATTGTCACCCTGCTTATTCAACTTAAATGCAGAGTACATCATGAGAAACACTGGGCTGGATGAAGCACAAGCTGGAATCAAGATTGCCAGGAGAAATATCAATAACCTCAGATATGCAGATGACACCACCCTTATGGCAGAAAGCAAAGAAGAACTACAGAGCCTCTTGATGAAAGTGAAAGAGGAGAGTGAAAAAGTTGGCTTAAAATTCAACATTCAGAAAACTAAGATCATGGCATCTAGTCCCATCATTTCATGGCAAAAAATGGAGAAACAATGGAAACAGTGACAGACTTTATTTTGGGGGGCTCCAAAATCATCACAGATGGTGACTGCAGCCATGAAATTAAAAGACACTTGCTCCTTGGAAGAAAAGTTATGACCAACCTAGACAGCATATTAAAAAGCAGAGACATTACTTTGCCAACAAAGGTCCATCTAGTCAGAGCTATGGTTTTTCCAGTGGTCATGTATGGATGTGAGAGTTGGACTATAAAGAAAGCTGAGTGCCGAAGAATTGATGCTTTTGAACTGTGGTGTTAAAAAAAAAAAAAAAAGAACTGTGGTGTTGAAAAAGACTCTTGAGAGTCCCTTGGGCTGCAAGGAGATCCAACCAGTCCATCCTAAAGGAAATCAGTGCTGAATATTCATTGGAAGGGCTGATGCTGAAGCTGAAACTCTAATACTTTGGCCACCTGATAGGAAGAACGGACTCATTTGAAAAGACCCTGATGCTGGGCAAGGTTGAAAGCAGAAGGAGAAGGGGATAACAGAGGATGAAATGGCTGGATGGCATCACTGACTCAGTGGACATGAGTTTGAGTAAGCTCCAGGAGTTGGTGATGGACAGGGAAGCCTGGCGTGCTGCAGTCCATGGGGTCACAAGGAGTCAGACACAACTGAGCAACTGAACTGAACTGAACTGAGGGTGTCCTTAGTAAAGGGGCCACAAAGACACCCACAGGTGCCTAGTCCCTGAGTCCACAGGGACTTCTGAAGCAACCCCCATAGTCCAGAGCTGCCCAATGGGGAGGAAACCCCACTCCAAACCTGGCCTGGAGCCAAGGACAGGGGTTGATACCAACTTTACAAGGGACTGTATGTGACTTGTCAGAAGATTCCTCCCATGACTCTGTCCCTGCCTCCCCTGGCTTCCCCCAATAGGCACAGACTTCCCTATAGTGGAAGCATTTCAGCTCCTCCAAGGTAGCTGTGACCAAAAGAATCCTCTGGGAAAAATATGCTGACTGTCCAGTGACCAGAGAGCTACAAGCTGTACAAATGTTAGACTTAAGATGCTCACATATGGAATAGCCAGTGATAAGCAGCTGGCTGGCCAGCCCATTTCAGCATGTTCTCCATTCCTGCAGCCACAAACAGGTGAGATACAAGCAGGTGAGAGGCAGCTCCACATAGGGATACGCAAGGCAGAGATGGGAAAGTTAAAATATTTTGCAGTTTTGGAAAAAAATTACTTTCAAAGCCCATGTGGGAAGTGGAGAGAGAAAGAATGCTTCCTTCTGGCCAAGGTGCCAAAGGAAGACTTCAGGAAAGGAGACAGTTAACTCAGGAGAAGCAATGGCAGGGTACAGCTTAGAGTAGGAGGGGTCTGCAGAGCAATAGTTTTCAAACTGGGCCCAGAGGGGCCCTGCAGAAGAGTGGGGAAGAGAAGGGCTCTACCCGCTTCCCAAACAGCTCCATTCCATCTGCTTTATATATTGGGTTTTCATTTCAACAAAGGATTCTTCTGCAGCTAAAAATAAGTCTGAAAACCACATCTCTGGGGGGAATTTATTCAGACAGACAAAATGGGTCTGGAAAAGGCTGCTGCTGGAAGGGATCCAAGGGAACAACTGAGTTTGAGTCAAGAGCGCTGAGAGGTGGAGTCTTACCTGGAACCAAGGGGTTGGCCAGGGAGATTGGAAGAATGAATCTGAGGGAGCTGAGAAAAATTACTCTAACTTGTATTAAGAGTAGAAATAAGACTAACTTAGCAATAAAGAAAACACATAGAGAAGGATGGGGCCAGCTGATTGAGGAATGAAAATAGAACAAAGGACCTGATTAATGTATAGAATCTAACCCAGATGAGCCAATGACCAGCCAAGGCCCCAGATCTCAGCTGTTTGGCTCCTACCGCTGGTTTGCCAGATATTCATCCTCTGTGGGTGGGGAGTGGCAAGCTGAGGTGGGGAGAAGGGACAAAACAAAAAACTTCTAAGAAAGCAGGCAAAGACTTGAGGGGATACTCCTCCATTCCATTCCATTGCCCTTGTCTTTTGTGAAGAAGAAATTTTTTCCCAGATAGCCTCCTCAAAAACTCCCCCTGGGGTCTCATTGACCCCAGAAATGAGTCACATGGCCACACAGAGGTTTGGGGATTGCCAAAGGTTGGCTCAGACTAATGTGTTTGGGTTGTATCATTGAGAATGTTTAAATCTCCTGTAGAATGGAAGAGACAACAACAACAACAAAAAAAAAAACATGCAAAATTCATAAAATCTGTTAAGTACAGATAGTAAGTTGGTAACTTGTGAGAAGTGCTAGATTTAGAATAAATGAAACATATGGACGTTGAACATAGATAAGAAGGATACAAGAACACAAGAGTGTTATTTGCAGATAGAAAGGGATAGAAAAAGTGAGTTATAAGGTAAGGATCCTGTTAATGCCAGATTGACAGCTGTCATCCCCACATTAACTGTCTTGGTGACACCCATTATCATCCCATTCTAGCCCATTCTGCTCTTCCCCGGCTGCCCACAGGGTCACCCACATGCTACAGCTGTAGCCAGGGGTACTTGCCTGTGTTTCTCTGGGCGAGCACGTGTTGGGTCCAGGCACCTTCTGTTTGCTAAGCCCCTTTGTTCAATCTCAACTCTGGTTCTCATAAGCACACTATCCGTGGGCAAGGACGCTGGGGGATAAAGAGAGGATGTGAACATTGGAACTCAGGATCAGGCAGTGTGTTCCTTCCACTCTACACAACTGAATTCTAAGTGGATTTACCTACTCGGCTTCTAAGGATTTACCTACCCTTGTTTATTACTGCAAGTTTTAAACTGAATCCTTAAGCTGAGTGATTCGACCACTTAAATTGATTTATGAGTCCTTCTGTTCATGACCTCTGGACAGCTTCCCTGTAAAGCACTTGGAAGCCACATGGAATCAAGATAATTTCCCATATGATAGACAATAATGGTCAACCTCTAGGACTGGGTGCATTACTATCTAAACAAAATTGGAGTCCTGTTATAAAGAAGGGGAGAATGGCTGAAGTCAGCTGTTTGAAGTCACAAGAGTTCACTTAGTCTAGTCTTCTGACTCAAGGTCAGATATACTGAGTTCTTTTGAGACAGAGTCTGTTTTTCTGGTTAAACTACAGACACAAGGCCTTTCGAATTTGTTGTCATCTATGAAATCCTCTTGGAGGGAAGGACTAGCTCACTTCTCAGGGCCCTGCTGGTCCAGGCTATTATGATTTTATAAGTTCCTAGACTGGCTGAACACTGAGGTCATTTCATCATTCACACAGCAAAGATTTCCTGAGCACTTCCCATGTGCTGTGGCCATGAAGATAACAAGGCACAGTTACTGCCTCCCAGAGTTCAGAGTTCAACAGGAAAGCAAATATAAAAAGTGCTTAAGATAATAACATATAGCTGAACTTGGCCGCCCCTTTAAGAATCTGCCCTCAGCAAAGCAGTGTCAGGTGTCCAATAAAAGGCACAAGTACCAGCATCCTGAAGCCCAAATCCTGTACCCCCATGTACCAACAACCGGCTGTAGTCTCTTACTGCCAATCTCCACCTCGTTCCCCCTTGTATTTGTCTCACTCACCTAGTCAGCTCCACGTGACGGACATGTTAGTTTTCTGTTGGCCTCCCGACCCCTGGGTCCTGGCTAACACCACTGTTCCTGCTCTCCTTGGCTCCGCAATCCTACCGAAGGCCTGCCGATGGACACCGCACAGCTCACCCTGACTCCTGCCCTCCCGCCATGTACTCGGCCTGGGCAGATACTGCGCCCTCAGCCCAGGCTTCTGAATGGGACTCGCGGTACCCCCTGCCCGGCGTCCAGAGGCTGTGAGGATGGAGAGGGGAGAAGTCTTCCGGAGATGACATTCAGACACAGGAATCTCCGCTGGCCCCAGCAGTCACTAACACAAAGGATGAGCCCACCCTAGGCAAGCATATGGTCTAGGAATGAAGCCAGGGCCTTTGGGGAGCTACATTAGCTCTTCCAGGCCTCCACTGAGAGGATGACAGCAGGTCAACTCACATTACAAAAACCCCATCTGCTTTCTCGGCATGTTCCTGCACGGCCTGGAGCTGTACAAAAAAAAAGTAACAGAAGCCCTGCTGCCTGACAGCACTAGCTCCTGGTGGCGCCGTGCTCAGCAGACCCCCAGGGCTGCTTAGAAATCCCGTGCTTCTTTCTAGGCACCACCCTGGCCCATTCCGCATCGCCGTGGCTCCAAATAGCAATCACTCCTCCCCACTCCATCTGCCTTCACGCTCAACTGACACTTTGACCTCTTCTTTACAAAGAAACTCCATTCATTCAGTCAACAGATACTAACTGGAGGTCTATAGGGCGCTAGAGCCACGGAGATAAATCAGGCCTGGTTCCTGCCCTCCTGCGGTACAGAGGAGCCAGAGAAATACAGACGGGTCGGATACAAGTGAAAGTGCTAAGCCAGCTTCCCAAGCCTTGATCCCACACGCCACCCTCCAGGACTCACCCAGCCCAACACATGTGTCCACCAGTGCCGCCTGGACCATCTTCTGGGATCCAACAAAGTAGGGCCCTGACCCTTCCCCAGGCCATTCCCTTTTATGATGTCAGTTATTCCTTCCTTTTCCCACATCTTAAATCTCTCCCTCCCTCCTCCCTTCTCCTACCCTCTTACCTAGCCAGCACTCACAAGTCTGCTCATCCTCCTGTCTTGATCACCTGCCCTCTTGTGTCCCCTACTTATCTCTCTCCTTCCATTTCCTGTCCCACTTCTTGAAGGAAAAATCTACTTGTCAACTCACTCACATGTCTCATATTTCCTGTCAGTCTGTCTTTTTTCTCCATATCTCCCAGGGAACCACTTGCTGACGCTATTACTGATCTCATAGTATCCAAACCCAGTGGCTTCTTCTCAGTTCTGATCTTATTCCTCCCATGCTGCATTGGGCTCCTGTTACTTTCTCTGGTATATGTGTGCGTGTGCTCTGACTCTTTAAGACCCCATGGACTGTAGCCTGTCAGGCTCCTCTGTCCATGGAATTTTCCAGGCAAGAATACTGGAGTGGGTTGCCTTTTCCTATTCCAGGGGAATCTTCCAGACCCAGGGATTGAACCTGCATCTCTTGCATCTCCTGAACTGGCAGGCAGATTCTTCATCACTAAGCCACCTGGGAGAGAAACAATACTGTATATACTCATGGTAAAAAAGAGCCAAATAACTCAGAAGTACATAAAAAGGAAAGAGTGGGAGGCCCCTGTCCCAGCCTCCCACTCCACTCCCTGGGTTGATGCATGGCTTTCCAAATACTTGTCGAGGTATAAACAAAAATAGAATTCATGCACAGTTAGAGTTTTTATTTTTCCAAAAAACAAACATAAGAAGCTATACGCCTCATTCTACAAACTCCATCTCAGCACTGACTTCCCACCGTGGGCCAGGCCCTCATCCCCCAAACTTGTGAGGAGGGTTCTTACCTTGGCACTTCACAAAAGCCAAGCTCCTGGGTATCGCTACTGCATCTGGACTTTGAACCCATTAGGTCTGTGACTTGAGGCTATGGGTTTGTGTTCTGTTTCTGGCCCATGGAAATGTTTATCTTGTTTCAATGCAGCTCCAACTTCTGAATTTTCTCCTCCCGTACTCTATCTACCACTGTGTTGGGCTTCAAAGCATGAACTCTCAATACCGGTTCTCTTGCTCAACGGGTGATCAAGTCAGATCCTATCACTGCCGTTCTCAAACCTGCAGTGGCTCCCACCTCCCTCAGAGTAAAAGCCTAAGTTCTTATTGTGGCCTGCAAGGTGGTACATGATATAAGCTCCTCATTACTTCTCTGACTTTTACTCCAGCTCTCTGTATGCAAGTCACACGAGCCCCTTTGCCATCTTGAGCACTCTTTTCCCATTCCTTTCCTCCTTTAACCATCTGCCTATGTTCTAAGTTTTGGAAACACTTTCTTCCCTTGGATTTCCTGCCTCTCTATGCATTCACTTCTCTCCTCCACGGACTGCTCTTTACCTGCCCCTTCAGGACTGAGGGTCCCCAGGGTTCCACCCACTCCTTTCTGCTCTCTACACCATCTTCCTAGCTGGGCTCTCCCACACTCTCACATCCTCCATCATCTAGAGGCTCATGACTCACTCCCATGTCTCCAGACCAGACATCTCTCTCGAGCTCTAGATCCTCAATCGCAGCTACCTTCCAGGTGATACACAAACACCTCTTAACTTGAAACCTCAGCTTGTCCAAACTCAACTTGCACCTTCCCCTTCTTTAATCTTCCTGTCTCAGCAAACAGCAACACTGCTTTCCTCTTCTGATAAGACTTAAATTGTGGAATTACTTTTGAATACCCATATTTCCTCACCTCTGTTTGGACGGTCACCAAATGCTGATTGCACCCGCAGAAACATCTCAACCAGGCTCCCTTCTCCACCCTTGTGCCACTGCCCTGGTCGAGAGCTTTTCGTCTCCTGTGGGCTCCAGCAGTAGCTTCCTCTTTGGTCTCCCTAACCCGGCTCTCTCCACAGCTCATCACCCATGTCGCCATCAGATAGCTTGCTAGGAGCCACACCGGCCACATGTTAATTTCTTGTTGCCCACACATAACTTCTCTGAAGCAGGATTGCAACCCTGAACAAGGCAGATGAGACTTTAAGGGACTCAGAGTCTGCAGACAGGCACTGAACAAGCAATGACTGTAGGTGGGGCCACGTGGTGATGGGGGAAGTACAGACTGTGAGGGGAGCATGTAAGAGGGCACCCCATCTAGCGAAGGATCAGAGGAGACCACGCGGAGGCCCCAGCTCAGACGGAAGACGAGCAGGAGTGAACCAGGCACAGAGTCCGTGTGGGCTGTGAAGTGACGAGAATATCCTAAGACTATAAAAGAGCACTCCATACCAGGAATGGAGAGGAGCTATAAAGGTCAGGGGAAGAGCGCTAAGAGACCATGTCAAGTTGTGCTTACCATCTCTTTCCAATTTGCAATAATTGTAAGGAAATTTTTATGCATATTTCTTTCTGCTACATTACACAAAGGAAGAGGAGGAGATATTTGCAAAGAAAGAATTTCTCTTTGAGGAGGAGGGGAAGGAGGAGGAATAGGAGACCACACACAAGAAAAATGTCAGAATGCTATTAGACTTCCCATTAGCAGCACTGGTTTCTTAGAAGAAAATGGAACAAAGTCTTCAAAGTTCTCAGTGAAAATTATTTTCAACCCAGAATCCTATGCCAGGTGAAGCCGTCAATTAAATGTAAAGGAGAATAAAGAAATGTTTAGACATTTTAAAAAGTACAATGCTTACCTTGTGTTGAGTGTGGGAGAAAGGAAATAAAAGATCCTTGAAGTTAAATAAAATTCCTCAGTCTTCAACTTGATTTACAAGTTTTAGTATTTTAGTATTATGATATATTTTTTCTCTTTAAAAATTATATTTCCAGAAGGTTTATAAAATTTTTAAAAAAAGAAAAAAAAATTATATTTCCAGCTCTGTCTACTGAAAAGGACTAGAAAAATGACTGATCCAGTAACAGTGAGAAATTATTTATTCCAGATCTAGGATAGGATATACACAAGATGGAAATGAAACATCTTATTTCAGATATCAAGGAAGAATGAAGTCAAGAGGGTCAGGAGCAACTGAACAAAGTTTCCACTGACAAATAAGATACAATGTGAGCATCACTGATAATAACTGTAACAAATTGAAGCTCATCAAATATGTTTAAATTCATGAGTAAAATTTTCAAAACTCACAGGTTGCCTTTGGAAGATGCTAGGGACCCATTATTTTGAAAAATGATAAAGGTAATTTAATTTACTGATTGCCAACAAGATCCTATAGCACAGGGAATTCTTGTCTACATTATGTGGCAGTCTGGATGGGAGGAGTTTGGGGGAGAAGGGATACATGTATATGGATACATGTAAGGCTGATTCCCTTTGCTGTCCACTTAGAACTACCACAACTCTGTTAATCGGCTATACTCCAATATAAAATAAAATTTTAAAAACTCAACACACTAGGAATTAAAGGAATCTACCTCAACATAGTAAGAGTCATAAATGAAAAATCCACAGCTTACATCTTACATACACTTCTTGCAGTTTATGAAAAAAAAGAAAGAAAGGGAATTTATTAAACTTTTCCCACAGAAACCTCAGAGTAACTAAATAGTAAATGGGGGGAAATTTCTCCCTAATATAGATATCTTCCAGCTAGTAAATGAAGGAGAGACAAAATATCACCATGCTATAATCCCCAATAAAATAATGGATCTAGGCAAGGATCATCAGCAACTGTTCACATTATAAAAGAGAGAAAAGTAGATGTGATGTGCCTCCTTTTGGAAGTACAAGATATCACCTATGAAACTACATCCACAATAATCAAACTTGAATCTGCTCAAGACTCTATTTTTAATTACTAGCCCATAGAAAGTACAGGAGATAAAGGACTATGTCAAATGTCATAACAGGAATGCAAGAAGCAAAATCCAGATTGTGGGAAATTTTATAAGGAAAACAAACAAAAAATTCTTTTTCAACAAATAAATTGCAAGGAAGAAAGAGACAGGGGAACCATAGATTCAAAAAGACTCAGGAGGTGTATCAAACAGCTGTAATTGGATTCAATTCAAACCAGCAAACATTTAGGTACATCAAAATTTGAACACTGACTGATTATTTGATGATGTTAAGAAATTATAGCTAATTTTTAGATGTGTTAATGGTATGGTAATTTTTTTTTTTTAAGAATCCTTATTTTTTGAGATACATACATACATATTTGCTGGTAATAGGATATCTGGAATTTGCTTCAAAATAACCTGGGAGTGTAGGAAGTGACTGAGACTTCCCTTGTGGCTCAGCTGGTTAAGAATCCGCTTGCAATTCGGGAGACCTGGATTCGATCCCTGGGTTGGGAAGACCCCCTGGAGAAGGGCATGGCAATCCACTCCAGTATTCTGGCCTGGAGAATTCCATGGACTGTACAGCTCATGGGGCTGAAAAGAGTCGGATGTGACTGAGCGACTTTCACTTTTCACTTTGTAGGAAGTGACTAGGAATATAGGTGAAATAAGATT